TTGATCTTAAGTGAATTTGATTAAAATTTTTATTTTCTCAAGTGTATGTTTATCTTTTCCATAATAATCAACTTCTTTTTCTCTAGTTTATTATTCCAAATTAGTTGCTTATAAGCCACCTTCAATATTCTCATAAGAAAAATTCATTTTTTTGAAAATTAATTTTATTTCTTTTAAAAATAAATTGTGTTTATAGCTTAACTATCAATAATAACCTAATCCGAAATTCTTGAACTTTGCTAACTCATTTATTTTTCTTCTTTTGCAACTGCATCAATGAGGTTAATATTATTGTTAAAGGTGGTTTTTTTAATTCACTTTATAGAATTTCTAAGTAAATATGAGTATCTCTACCCTTCTAAAATTCATCATTTATAATCATTTTTATTATTAATAATTATTATGCATTATATACCTAAAATAAATTTCTGCAGCATATTTATTAAACTTATAATTAGGATCGTTATGCAATTAGCAACATCTTCTGAATACCAATCTTATCTTTTTAATTTGGTTAAAGCATTCTGATGGCTTTCCAAATACTGCTAACCAATGTGATAAACATAAAATTCTAAGACATATCTTTAATAATTGTATATATGAGGTTATAGATTATCTCAAGATAAGGAATCTTCAATTTTATTATAATATTTGTAAGTTTGATGGCTCTCAATAATCCAATAACTTTAATAAATCTTAGAACCTTCATAATTTTAATGATTTAATTAATTCTTTATCCATCTTACTTATTCAGACTTTTATTATTACATTTTATTTTGATGAATTGTTATTAGAAATTAATTACATATTTAAACTTAGTATAAATAATCATATGAATAGCACGATAGATGCTTTTTAATAAATAAACTTTTAAAATATTAACTCTAAGAAGTGATTTGATAAGATCTATTTTTTCATAGAATGTGGGTTTGGTTTTATCATTGAGTATATTTGGAAAATAAAGAATTTGAATACAATATAATATTTGATATATTTGAATGCTAAAATTAAAAAAAATAAATAATCAATATTAGAGTAATTTTTCGCTTTTAATCTCTTTTTAGACATCAAATGCTAAATATTCAATCCATAAAACCTAATTTATATTCTGTTTATTTTTATTGAATTGATGTTGATGCAACAAGATTTAATTTAATTGGAGATTCGACTAATTCTAGATTTATTAAATTCATCCTATCTAATTTAATTATCATCTGAATAATTTTTTAATTGGAGCATTATCTTAATAAAAAAGAAAAAAACGGAATGAGTTCGATCATATAAAAGATAAAATTTTCTGCCCTACCACAAACGATAGTAGGTACATAGAAAAAGTAACCAATTAATTTTGAAATTTAATAAAATTAAGCTATTATGAAATAATAAATAAATTTTAATATTCTATTATATTTTTTAGATGTTTTATGATAAAACTCATAATTACTTATACCTCCTTACTTAAATTTCCTTTGATTTTAAGTCCCAAGTGATCAAATAAACTCCGTCATCACTCAATTGCCCATAGAGATAAGGACTATCAAATTCAATAGATTTTAAAGTTATAAAGTCTCCATTTTCTTACTTCTTTATTAGATTTACATTCTTGCCATTCTTATTCACAAGTAGGGATTTTGACTTTAAGTATTATTATGGAAATAAACAATCACAACTATTTGAGCCACACTTTACAGCAATTTCCTTAGTCTTCATATACTATTTATTATTAGTATCTAATTCATACACATGCATTTATTCTTTATGAAAAGGTTAGAATGTAAATTAAATATCATTAATAAAACATAATCGTTATCCATATTAATCAACTTTTATCTTTTATGTAACACTCCAAATTTTATCCCACTTAGACTATTATATTACTAATATTTATGAATCATATGAACAGGATATCAATTTATTTTATTGTTCATTTAAACTTAATGAATATACATAATTAGTATGATCTGTTATGGTTTATTAACATAGCCATTAATTTTATTTCATCCAAAATTTGATTGTTTTATCAAAACTACCAGATATTATTAGATCATCATTATTATTTAACACTACACAAAATATACTATTTTAATGTCCGTTTAATATTTATTAGCAACTCCATTAATTATGGCCAATTACCTACCATATTAGAATTGATTTGTCAAGACTTCCAGATGAAAAATTATTAGTCTTGTTCATAAAGTTTAGAGCCTAAACATAATCTTTATGCTCTTTTAGTATATTAATTTCATTCAATTTCCCTTATTAATGTTGAAATACTCTAATATCCTAACCACATCCAGCTAACACCAAAGATTAATCTTTATTAAAAGTAATGGCATCGCACCGATCAACTTTCTTAATTCTGTTTTCATTCATGAGCTCAAAGGTGAATTAGTTTGAATTTGCTTTCATGATACTTAAAATCTATAATATATTTGATTAATTATATAGATTATTTAAGTTGTTTAAATAATAATTCCTCAAAACTATATTTCTAGAATTTGACTATGGCTAGGCAAACAAGAATTACAATAAGGCCTTTAATAGGGGCATACTTTCAAAAATAAATAAATAGTTGCTTTTCTATAATTCGTACAATGAAATTTAAGAAGCCATCATTTTTTTATCAGCAACTACTCGTTTACTAATGAAATTTCAATTGTATCATTTTTAATTAAATATTCTCCTTTATTTGCAATCAGACATGATGCATTCTTTTAAAAAAAATTATTTACTTAATTTAATTTAAATATCAAAATTTTCTAGAACCCCTTTTTCACCCCAACTAAAATTTCATCTTGAAAGCTTAGGCTTTTTAATCAAATTAAGTTCTAACCATTCCTTTTAGAATATTGTCTTTAGATATTTAAATAAATTTAAAGAGAAAATATAAAAAATTTATGTCATCTCTCATCTATAAATACATAATTTTATTATTATTTGAGCCCCTAAACAACTTAAATACTCCTTTCATTGTAGATACACCTGAAAATAAATATTAATTATATAAAATATCTTCCTCCTATTCCACCTCATGAAAGCCTCCTTTATGCAAGATATTTATATCTTTATTTAGATAAAAAATTTGAAAGAATTTTGATATTAATATATTTTATATAAATTCAATGATTTTTCAACAATTTAATGATACTATTACTGATGATGGCTATATGGAATTATCATCTTTCGATAAAATCTTTATTTACTAAACATAAACAATTTGTTATTTATAAATGATAAAGAACTTTATGTTATCTGTAGAGTCGATTTAGTGTTTTTTAATTTAATTTTATTGAAACTATTTTTATTCATTCTTATTTTTTCAATAACATAAACTCTTAA